ACACTCTACGGCAAAGATCCCATTCGTCAGCACTTATTTTTCATAGCGTGCGGTCTCTCAATTGGTTACTGGAATTACGGTAATTTATTCGAACAGTATCTCAATTCGATTGACACGCAAATGACACGCCGGTGTTCGCTTATTCATAAAGACGATCATAGTAATAATAATGATTTTGCAGATTATAACATACTTCATTCATCAACGGCGGTATGCGGAACGTATCTCATTCTGACGGTTCTCGGTAGCACTGGGCTATCCGTCATAGTAACGTTTCTCTTCAACATGACGTACCTACTTTATGGTAAAGCAACATAATAGCAAATTTGAAAATTTAGTCATAGTCGAAAAACCGGTCTACGCATTTACATATTTACCCTGCGGCACTATCTATTTATTCTCGAGCTATCTGGCGCGATCGTGGACTTGGAATAATGTGTTTAAGGTTTCCAACAATGAATCTTTTTCTATTTATAATTTAAATTCATACATTCCTCGTTTTAGAAACTAGAACGATGTAAGAAGTACATATTTTACGTTAAAAGTAAAACAATTATAACGATAATGAAAAACAATTTTTTGTATTGTAACACCTTAAACCAGCAACATACGTTCAAGTATACTTATCAGGTATACTTGTGCGAGTTTACCGGAATATGTATTTGCGATAATTGTGCAATTATGTTATCTACATGTTCCGATAGACTTGATAAGTGTGCTTGTGCATACATGTTTAATGAGTTTACTTGAACGTGTGTGCCGGCTTTATCTGTCATTACGATGTTATTATGTATTTAGCACTACGGCTTTAATCATTCGAACAATTGTGGGCGATATGAAATAATTAATATTTTTAATATTTTTTTTATTGTGGGCGATATTGAAATAATGAATATTTTTAATTTTTTTTTGTTATACAATAATAATCTTTGTTGTATAATTTATCGAAATATTACTTGCTAGTTTTACAATCGTTTACTTGCGTTCGTAGACAAGCTTCATCGTTTTCTCGTTTTTTTTCGTCGATCGTTTCGAGCTACAAAGCATTTAAACGAAATTATTTTTCAATACAGGCTATTACACCACCAGTACCCAAGATTACGATATAAAATGGACAATGCCGCAGTGCGTGCTAACCCTTAGATTAATAGGGCTTGCATTTAATTTATGGGACGGTCAAAAACGTGACGTACGAAACGCTATTTTTTTCATAATTCCATTATCTCATTTATTCCTTGACGTAACGATCACGAATTGTATTGTAGGAGGAGCTCTCCGATAGTCAAAAGCGGGTTATCTTGAAGGAACGACCATCGCTGTTGGAAATTGCGGCGTACGCTTATTTTCCGGGCGCCTTCCTGATCGGACCGCAATTCAGTATGCGACGATACTTGGACTATGTCAATGGTCAGCTCGCAGAACGCGTACGTTAATAAATTGGAAAAATACTAGTCGATAGCTTTTACACATCTATCGACGAATTCGGAGATCATTTGGTTCTCCAGTTTGAGAAAATATGTCTAGTTAATATAAATAGCACGCTTTATATTTTAGGATCCTCAAACTGGTGCCATCAAGCTGCCGGATTGCGTGTCGGCGGGATTATTACGAGCTTTTATCGGATTCATATATGTAGTGATATTTCAAATCGGTACACTTTACGTTTCTGATCAGTACCTCTTTGAACCGTCATTCCAGAAATTAAATTTAATAAAGAAATGCTTAATAATCGGCCTGTGGGGCCGTATCAATCTCTACAAATACATCAGCGTTTGGCTAATCACAGAAGGAGTACGTATAATCGAAATATAATTTTTAATATTTATCTGTATTTGTGCTTTTGTGTATATTGGTTATTGATATCAGGTATGCATCGTCTTTGGTCTTACATATAATGGAAAAGACTCTGAAGGTCGTGTTAAGTGGGACGGTTGCGCGAATGTTAAATTGCGGACATTCGAAACTACTATGCAATTCAATGACTACATTCTCTCATTCAACATAAACACCAATCACTGGTGTGCGGAATACATTTACAAGAGGCTGAAGTTTCTGGGTTCAAAAATATACAGTCAAATAATGACACTGCTTTTCCTTGCTCTCTGGCACGGTTTTCATTCCGGATACTATCACTGTTTCTTTATGGAATTTGTTGTATTATACTTCGAGCGAGACGTAAGTATCGTTGCTTACACGGACAGAATTTTGCAAGATTTTTCAAAATTTGATTGCTTCTTTATTGTAATCTTTATTTTCCATGTGATTTCTTTTTTCTAGATTGGACCGGTATTAAAGAACAGCGAGATAGTACAAACGATGCTGAAAATACGATGGGAAGCACGCGTTCTCGCTTGGATCTTTCTGAAGCTTTACACTTTTGTTTTCATGGGCTATAGCCTCGTATCGTTCGTACTTCTTTCGTATCCGCGATATAACCAAGTTTACGCTAGTATGTATTATTGCGGACATGTGTTCTTCCTCTCTTATCCGCTGCTCGCGCCGTACATTAAACGATTGCTTAGTCAAAGGCATGAACGTCAACGATCGCACCAAGAATAAGATGACACTCTACTTTCTTTTTCCTCGATATTAAGGTATTGCTTCTGTATTTGTTTTTCTTTCCGTCGCTGGAATCGATACTTTAGAAGACATGCAGCTGTAATGTAATGGACGCTGATCTACAATTACATTCACTTACAGTCATTAGTCTTCAAAAGAAATGTGATAGCGCATATCCAACGGAAGATACGGGAAATAATAAAGCATATTATCATTACTATCGCTTTTCGTAACGGTTATGAATTCTTTAAAACATGATGTTGAATTTCCGTCGCTTAAATATATTCTCGATGATCGAGTTTCGCAAGTAAAAAAATCCTTTGAAGAATCTGTTGCTGAAACGAAATGGCGGTAGTAGTGGAATATACAGATATTACTATTAAGAACATTATTAATTTGTAAATCAATGCACCGTTTAAAAAAAATCCGCTGGTCGGTAATTTCGTGTGCCTGTACTTGGAAGTTTCTACGATCAAACTTTACAACACGAAAATTCAAGAAATACCAACAATAATTCTAGATACTTCAGTATTTTCCTACAATAATATGTTTTTGCGTTTTCAATCATATTTTTGTATATCTAGCATATTCCATTGAGCAAAGTTTTATTTATATATATATTCCATCGGTAATAAAATCTGTTAAAACGCGTTATGCCTTTTAGTGATAAGAACTGTTATGATACAATAATAGCGGCTGCGTTAGCTAGTCAAGTATCATAATATTCTAAAAAGACACGAAGGAGAAAGCAACTGTGCATCTAGGTACCGCAATAAGAACGCCTATTCGCAAAAATAAATTCAGAGAAATTGCAAAGGATGTTTAGAGAATAATACCGTGATTTTGTAAGCGCAAAAATAGCTAAAACAACATAGTCAAATACGCGATATCGTGCACGATTTCAATTGAAATATGTATTTTATCATAGTGCTACGTTTTACCAATCTAATGCAATTAACTGCGTTTTACTAGACTTCTCTAGATGTAAATACGACGATAAACAGATCGTAATTCTAGTCGGGTGTGTACCTTCTACCATGTGTACACACGCTGCATTAGTATCAATATACGGTATAAAGTAACGCGAGAAGCGATTTTCAATCTTATATTATTCGCAATTATTTTTGTAGGTAAAAGTCTAACAACGATCTACTTATCTATTCGTATTGTAGTAGGAATACGCAGCTCTTATTACGCACACAGCCTTCGAACACACAACTCATCGAAATTAAGAGAAATTAGTAGGTACCAGTTCGATATATAAACAAATGTCTAGACTCTGACGTACTTTACGATCGTTTGACACCCTATTCAATGATCAAGTTAGATCGACAAGAAATTATTTGTAGTATTTTGCCTAACGACTTTAATTTATCGATCTCAAGTACGATCCCAGTCTCTGGAATCTTTGACATAGTCGCGTACAGATTTACAAAGTTTTAGTTGTATAAAACTATATAATTGTAGCGCAATCAGAAGTTATACTGCATTTACCGATAGCATTTATTATAGGATATAGGATAAAATTAAGGAAGATCCGACCTGACTCATTTTTGATGCGACACTCTTGCGACATCTAGTTCATAAGCCGCGGAAGTGTGAATTTTAATTTGGGAATTTAACTATAATTAATTGTACATTTATAATTATAATTATATTATAATAATTGTTTGGGAATTATAATTATTAAATTGGGAACAAATTAAAATTCACACTTGGTTGTACCTAACACGCTGGTTGTACGTTTCATATTTAATACTAGTGCAAAACGTTAGGCAAGTATTGTATATTTACGAATATCTTATCTTGGAATCTCACGTTCCATAAATGTCTTCATTTTATTATCATTATAATAATCGTAAATTTAGTTAAGAAGATAATATGTGCCGGAAAAGGATACATTTTTGAGTAGAGATTTTCAGGACTCTAAAACATTGTTTAAAGGCTAATGCTTACAAATGCGCTTGTGATCTAGGTTTTAACAATTTCGATTTTGTATCGCATCACTAATAAGATATGAACGAGAAACGAGAGAGAGAGAGAGAGAGAGAGAGAGAGAGAGAGAGAGAGAAATAGATTGTAAGAAACGAGAGGTTGGTGAAGAAAACTGGCGAAAAGAAAGGCGATGAAGTGATTAATAATGCCAGAAATTGTTTGATATAAAAAATGTATTTAAAATTATTTTCTTAAAAGATACAAAAGAAACACATCGACGTCTCGTATATAAAAATATTAAAAATGATTCTTTTTTTTTTATATTTCAACAGAGAACCACGACAAACGTACTCGGTCGTTCAAGAACTTGTTATGTATGCGTATGTGTGAGCGTGAATGCATATGTGAATGTATATGTGTGTACGCGAGCGACATCATAGGCTTTAACAACACGAAGCGTCTGCCTTTTAAGCACCTTTAAAACACCATGCGGCCTATCTTACGAGATATAGGCGATATATACATCCCTCCTAAAATTATTAAGATCCATCCGGGCTTGCGCGTTCGCGCTCACGTATCGCGAAACGGCTGCGAGAGTAGTCGCCGTTAACGATTTGTCTCCGTAAAATGCCGGAAGTCGAGGGTGGTGAGGGTGCTCTCGTGCGACGAGCCTAATATGGTCCACTGGGGCCCGGGCCCGGTTGTGGTGCTCCGTAACTGTCGATGGGTTGTCCTGGTTGCTGCCCCGGTGGCCCATATTCGCCGCCACCTTGCTCCTTCTGTAATGCATAAAAATAAATGCATAAAAATAAGTGACAAGACAAGAGAGAAAAAAAGAGATGGACATAGCGCATATATGAATTTTATATATTGTGGCTATCATGCAGCCATGATCTTTTCTGTGATGGCAATTAGCAGAGTTCGGTAGTTAGTCTTCGTATTCGCGTATAATTTTAAATCTTGCCGATATATCTGTAGTTTACCTAGCAAGCCAAGCAATTTCGGAAAGCGACTTAGGCTAGAAGACATTTTCAGCGGTTAATCGAAGAATATCCCCTGATCGACCAAAAAAGTAGATCAAGGGTCTCGATCAGATATTTATAGTTTACTAAGCAGAGCGCAACGTAGAGCGAAAGATATCTTTTGTAACGAAGAGTTATAGCAACATTAGAGTGTACAATACAATTAATCCCTAAAACCTACGACGATTGTTGTAGAAATCTTGACAAGTTCGCTTAGATAGGCATTATAGGAACGACACTTGAAGAGAAACTCTCCATAATTACTCAAATCGTCGACACGGCAATCACCTTGATAGTTTCGTTTTTCTTTTTTATAGTTGAGCCGCGGGAAGATAATTCGCGTCCGATTAACTGTAAGGTCGTCTGAAATATATGACGTGCAAATATCACGCGCCCAACATCCGGATTCCTTCATGTTCGAAGCAAAAAACATGCGCCGCGCCGCTCGGTTCCTATCATCGAAATGAGCAATTTACATGCCGCGAGGCATACTTTCATCTTTCAGTGTTCGCCATTTAACCGAAATCGCTCCTCGATAAATTGCTTTGAAAGTAATAACTATCCGTACATGTATACGCGTTTGAGCAATATTTATGCTTTGAGCAACTGAAGATTACGCAACGCACTACACTTAGATCCGACGATAGAGACGTCGTTATTCTTGCCGAGGCTCGAATTCGCGCGCCTAAGCAATTTTATTTTTTAAAAACTGCATGAATTAGACCCATTTTTACCAGTGTAGATTAATTTTAATCTCTTTCTAATTTACTCTATCTTTTTCTAATTCTTAGAGGAAGACAAAAAGTAAAGTTGTGTGATCAGACTAGAGATTGAGATTGAATTGTAATTTGATCAGTCAAAGAGCAAAGGTCACCGAACTTGATATTAGTTTTCTTTCTTCTCATCAGTTAAATTCCAATCCAATCTCAATCTCAATCTATAGTCTCATAGTTTTACTTTTTATCTTCTTCCAGTTTTAAGAAAAGGGTACAGGCATAAATTAAATCAAGAATGTCAGATTAAGAAAGTTAGTCTACATTATTGGTATGAAATGGTGGAACATGGTGAATGGACATCGTCGAATCATAAAAAAAAAGTGAAAGAAGATAAATCGTTACCTGAGTTTTATAGCGGATGAAGTAGACCTCCGGTTTGCTGGGCTGCGTCGGTGCCTGCGTCGGCAACACGACATCGGGCGCCTCTTCGGGTTTCTTCACCAGGACATAGATCAACGTTTTCTCCTCATCCGGCTGCGGCAGCGGCGGCAGTTGCGGTGCGGTCGGCGTCGGTGGGGTTGGCGCCTTGATGAACACTATTTTGTAGTGTTTCTGCGGCTGTTGTTGCGGGATATGCCTGGGCGCTTTGTACTCCGGTGCTTCTGGCGGCGGCACGTGGACGTACACGTGCTTGTGGATCACCGGGTTTTGCTGTGGCGGGCCGTAAGCCGGAGCTGGAGGCCCGTCGCCGCCACCTCCACCGCCTCCACCGCCGCCTCCACCACCACCACCACCTCCAGAGGGTGGAAAGTATGAGCTCACCGGTGCCTCCGGCGCCGGTTTCGCGACCGTCAGTGCGATCGACGAGCAGACGATCGCAAAAATCGTGCTCTGTTAAAAGAGAAAATAGACATCATAATGATCGTGACTGCAATGTTAACATGCTCGAAGAGAGTTGTAGCGAAAGTTACAATAAAGATTTTGCTATCCTGAGATATTTATAGTAGGTATTACATGCAACGGGAGTTGTGACACTTTTATTCAAAAGTTTTACCTGCGTTATGTATTTTACAAAAAGAATCCAAATAATAAAAAATGTCTAAAATTATCGGGCCATAAGATGTTTTTTGCGTCTAAAAGACGACTTAAAGACGTCTTATATCACAATTTTAGACTTTGTGTTGTTTGAGAATTGTTTTGATTATTTGAATAATTTAATGTTTTTCCAAATCAGAAACAAAATTAAATTCTATTCAGAACAAAATTTTAATGCAACTTCAGTGCAATTGCTTTCATGTAAGTTGTACATTTTGCTATTTTAATAATAATTATAATATTGATAAGGGAATTTTTTGAATAGCAATAAAAGATTGATTACAACATAAGCGTTATAGATTGAAAAATGTACTAAATAATAATAACTAATTAAATATTTACTAAGTATAAACATTCATTTGGTACGAGAACCATTGATTTAATTATAATTTTTTATTGAGTAAATATTTAATATAAATAAACGCTTAATTAGTGTTGTTGAAAACAATGTTATTAAAGTTTAGTAATTTTGTTTCATACATATAAATTTTAATCTAATCTAAATGTTTACATAACTTTTGCAATGTGCATAACAATCTTTATTAATGCGATTCGTAAAAATACACTTATAATTGATTAACAATTCTCAGAACAAAATATTACAACATTGTCATATTCCAACTTACAAAAAATGTTATATGAAATACATATATATATATATATATAATTTATTAGGAAACACGATTGTGTCTTGGGTGTGATTTACGCTGCAATACTTTCTCCGCATAATCAATAATTCGTCGATAATTTATTATTAGTGATTGGCATGTCGAATACATCATGTTCGTGATAAAATGCGCGTAATAGTGATTTATTTTACTTTTACAGATTACGTCGTCCATAGCGATTCAGCGTGAATGGATGAAATGCGACATGGTATTGCTTAACTTGCTTAAAGAATTCAATGCGATAGACATTTCTATTTAGCAATTTCTCACCGTTATCGGCCAAATTATAAGAATACAATGACTCGTTTATTGCGAATTCCTGTATGATCTGACTCGTAATGATGTATGCGACTATTCACGTATTTATCTTCAGTAAAAAGATAAATATGACGCGATGCATGTTCTTGAATTATTCGCATGTCAGAGAACTCGTTAACGACTTTCAATAAGCTTCGCATTATACTCTTTATTCTTTTTTCTACTTGATTATGAATTTCCAGACAGGGTCAAAGATCACTTTTTACTTAGATCTGATTAGCTTACAATGTTTAATAGATTTCCAAATACTGTATTTCAACATGTAAAAATCATCCATAATCTTGATTAGAAATTAAAAATAATATTTATTCAACACTCATAATTTAAATTTCAAATATTTAATAAATGAAAAAATATATTTTCAAATTAATTACTAAGTTAATGAAGGAGAATTAAAAAATTTTGCTAGATATAGGTCTGAAATATTTGTTGGACTATTAAAATAATTATGTAAAACGTTCATAATGAGTAATGCTGCGAAAAGTTTTGAGCAACATTCTGACAATTAGTTTGAGCGTCCCAGATAATTATTTATTATAATTATATGGATATCAACATATTTAATTGTTTCGATTGGTCTAACAAAATTATTCAAGATCTAGCAAATTTTTAAATACCTTAATAAAATCATTCTTTCTGAGTCCATCGCGTGTTTATAATAAAGTATAATTTAAATGTTATAATCACATAAGTAAGAACTCAGGAAGGTGAACTCAACCTTGGCAATTACGGGCTCTCTTAAATGAACGTCAATCCTCCCGACAAATCCTCCTCGGAATTCTCGATTCTTGATCTTTTCCGCGAGAGAGTCCATTAATTCCGAATAGCATTTCCATTCCTTACAACGGGCACGTCCCATTAGCGTGAACGGAAGAAGACGCCACGGCGTGCGATGTGCGCGATAACTCACTCCGCTCGAGCGAAGCTTCCTACTTACTTAACGACCGCTCCGATCTTTAATCATGCTTTTAGTGCCGCATCGAAACTCCGCTCCGCATGCTAGAGCTGGAGCCGCTTTCCCCATTTTCCTTCGCGCTATAATTATCGAGACCGTGTCGGTGAATAGAGCGGGAGCATAGGCGGGATCCTTTTACTTTTGTTCGCATCGCGAGCGGTTTAATCCGCGGGAGATTCGTGCCGATGCACCTCGCGCACAGTGGGATGCACGCTCGACGTATTTTTTCTCTCCTCGGGAAAATGCGATCACCGTCACTTTCCATCGTCTAAAAAAAAAAAGGCCTAACCAACCGCTGGAGTCGGTGATGTAAACGCCACCGGTTCTCCCCGACGATGAAATATCATCTGCGTTGTTTGAAGGACATTTCGAATAAGCCAGGTGCCTTTCGACGAATTCCATCACATATAAATTATTAATCCCGTACATGCCTTGCCGACGTGGAAAAATGTAGAAGAAAAACGAAAGGCTCGAGATGAGCTGGATGTATCCAGCGGATGGATTGCATGAAGATTTCGTAAGAACGAACCGAAAGTTACTCTCATTAAATGCACCTGGTCATTCGATCAATTGACTTACGCATTTACTTGGTAAGAGGATTGCGTCAGTCGACGTTTAAATTTAGTAACCGGTCTTGAACATTGCGAAGAAGAGACTCGAACGTTCGTTCGACCCTCGCAGATCGCGCTCGAAGAGAACTCCATTCGATTCAGGAAAATTACACTCGTCGTAAACATATTACTCATCAATATAAAACGCTTTCCCGACACGGACGATGTAGTCATTCGCGTATGAATTTTCACAAATGAAACGGCAAGCGTATAATACGCTTCAATTTTTCAACGTCTCTCACCTTGCGCCATAAATGAAAGCGACGATTTAATTGAGATATTTCACTTGCCGATGAAATGGTCGCCTCGCATTCATCTTCGAATTTGAAACACGAAGGACGCGAATTAACGCTGACAATGGAAAAAATGTGCATTGATTGTTTTTGACTTTGAATAACTGCGTTTTAATACTTGTTTCTAACCGATGTAAATTAACTTTAATCCCGGTTCAACTAAGCCCGTTTTCCACCAATGTATAATAAATTAATTTTAATCTCGGTTCAACTTACTCTTGTCTTTAGAATTAGAAAAAGATGACAAGTAAATGCTGATATATGAAATGTAAATATTAAGTCTAGTTCTAAGAACTAGAAAAAATGAAAAAAGTAAGTTGAGATTAAATTTATTATAATAATGTAAATTAACTTTGATCTCAGTTCAACTTATTCTTCATTCTAAGAACTAAAAAAAGACGAAGAGCAAATTGAACTGAGATCAAAATTAATTTACATTTTGCATTGGTGGAAACGCATTATTCTTTATTCTTTCTTCTATAGTTCTAAGAGCCAGTTTCATCATCTCCAATTAGCTTGATTGGTCGATTAAGCGATAAACTGTGATTCTAATGAATTCTGATCAATTCCGCTTAACGACAAATGCAATTGATCAGTTTCGACAATAATCGGCTGATAAATCAACCGAAGTGGTGAAACCGATCTTAAGAATTAAAAAGCGTAAGTCGGATAGAAATTAAAGTTAATCTACTCTCTAAATTCTTTACAGTAGAATCTCTAAAGAGAGAGAAAATTGAGCCAGTCTTGAAAAAGAATGGCTCACTTTTCAATCTCGAAGAATGAGATTTCACTCTTCAGAGTGACAATTCACTCTAAAAGTTTTAGAGAGTATTCTTTGGTGGAAACGGGCATAAAAGAGACCGACAATCGAATTCAATAATTAAGAACGTGTGTTTGCGCGCATTGTTACTTACCGCGGTGGTCCGCATTTTCTCCCACGTGTGCGCTCCGGAGGCTCAAGGTACTCCCGAAATGTGAGGCACGTAGAAAAAGAGGTATGTCGAGCGTTTCACTTGCAAGCTTTCACGCGTGTGGCGTGCGGTCGAGGC